GGGAACCACAGAGACTCATGCAACCGGCACGGATCTATCAGATTGTTCTCTATCAGATAGAATCCTCTGTCCAAAAAAGGTCGCCTTGTATGGACATGCATTGGAGCAACTGCTTTTGGATGGCATCAAAGACATCGCTTATGCTGCTGCTTTGGAGGCATTTGTGTCTTGAAAGAGAGGATCAGGTATGCTGGTTGGTTGTTGGCAACAATCGGGGGCACCTGCAAGTTTGCCATTTCTCTGGGCTGCATGTTGTAGTGTGCGTGATTGCGGGCAGGTGCGTGGTGCAACACATTTGCACACAATTCATGGGTTTTTGAGCCCTTTGTGTTGTGCAGGCTGTTGCATCGAACTGTCCAGTGCTCGAGCAGCTTGCAGTGACCCTTCCAGACAAGGATGCAGATGCTGTATTGAAGGCTGTGGAAAGTGCGCAGACTGAATGGATGCTGTATTGATACTGTTTCGTGTCTTCGCTTTGTGCATCCTTGTGCTGCATCCGGCCACTCTATCCCTTCAGCAACAAAGGAATCTTGTTCTTTGCAAGTGCTTTTGTAAAGAAAGAACACCGCAGGTGGCCTTGAGTTCAATTGGTGCAAACTGCAGCCGCCTAGTGCTTCTTCGACTCGATGCATCTTCACGGTGAGCCTGGCACATATTCATGCATAGTGTGCTGTGCGCATGAAAAGCGCTTGGCTTTTCAAAGTTCTCCAGGTCGCACAAGCCAGTTGTGGACTCATTGGTGCACACCTCATGGCGGAAATGATACCAGTGGCCAAAGCTGAACTAAGCTTCGCCAACTGAAGGCATTGCCTCTTTTCAGCCGCTTGAACTCCTTGTCCCTCTGGTGTTCTGCAGGCAATGAGTTCGCTGCTCCGTGAACAGATCGTACTTAATTACTGCACATGTTCTATTCTTGGTAGGAAGTGGTCTTCAAGATGGTCAGTTGGAGGCATGGCTTACAACTTCAACTTGTCCAGCAGAACTGGAATCATGATTGGTGGTCAGACCATCCTCTCCGGTCGCACGCTGCTCCAGACCCTGGTCCATTCCTCAATGAAGATCTGAATTGAAAGAGTAAAGATGTTTTGAGATCCTAGTTTCTTTGATAGCTGATAATTAGCCACTGGTTTTTGGGTCATCCTCTATTTGATTGTCATGTCAAGGCTCTTCGCAACTGCGCAGTGTCTGAAGGGCTTTTCCCTAGGCGCTTCGCACTTGTTCGCCCGACCCGAGCTGCAGAGCTGGAGAGCTGCCGCACTGTTTTTCAGCTGTTTCCGCATGCTGGCCTCGCTCGACTCTTTCTCGGCGACGTGACATGCTCTTCTTGAGGTGGTGCAACAGGGACCGTGACGAAGCTCTTGCAGTCAGGCAGCTTGACCAGGCCAGTCTGGCCTCAGGCAGCATTAGTAATCTTTCACAGAAGAGTCGTGAAGCAGTGCAAAGATGCCAGTCTCACAGACCCCTTATATATACGAGATTTAAGGTAAAATATTTTGTGTAGCCACAAGTGCCAAGGAGTCAGAGATTCCCAGTCTTCGGAGAGAGGTCTTTCTTTTCCACACACAGCTTCCAATAAGTTTTTTCTTCTAAAATGTAGAATTGATGAGACCTTGTTCAGGGCTCACACAATTTGTTCTACGCGTGAAGCCGAAACACACCGCAAAGGTGTTGCTCTCATCTTTGAACCGCAGCTTCTCCGGGACACAGCTGAAGCCTTGTGAATTGTCGGAGACCAAGTCCAAACTCAAGGTACTTGACGTTGGTTGACATCCTCTAACTTCCTGCTCCTCTCAGTCAATGGAAAATGTTTTCTTCTAAAGGTATTTCCATTATCAAGTCATTCAGTGAGTCAATAGAACTTGCCCGAAAGCTAGGAAAAACGTATTATTGGAGGTAAGAGGTTTCTATCAATCTGTTTGTGATTTTGATGACCGCTGGCCTCAAGCTTTCGTTCCAGAGTACATCCTTGTTGTTTTTCAGTTGGTCAGATTGCAAGTGCTTGGGGTGCCTTGTCCACTTGCTTGGTGGAATTGGCGATCTCGTGATTAGGCCAGAATCTATGCCAGTGCGAAGGAAAAGGCATGGGCTCAGGGTTGAGGGGCCAGCATTTTCTGGCTGGATTCATTTTGCAGGGGATTAACATTGTTGAAGCATCCACTTATTTTACTAGCAAACATGCTGGACTTAATAGGCAGCACTTGCGGAACTCAGCTGCCGTGGCCTTGCGGTCCGTCTCTACCTCAGAGCCCTCGTGACATCATGGTGCTGAACACAAGACGATTCCGAAACTGGCTCCGATTCAGAAACTTGCGTACATTCAGATTCAGAAACTGGGCCGATTAAGAAACTGGCTGCTTCAGAATCAGGGTTGAGCGTAAGTTGGATATCGGGGTGCCTGCTTTTCAGTCTTTGTCTTTTTGCCCCAGCCCAGATCACATTAACATGGCATCTGGTACAGACCCACCAAATCGTTTGTGCAGCTAACATACCCCAATTTTTTTTGATACATAAACTTCCTAGTTGCCTCTCTAGCGCTTGGCCGCAAGTCCTGAAGAGATGGACTGCGGAGGGGAGGAAACAAAAATGAAGAGACAAACAACGCGGATGTTTCTCAGCACATCACTGCATTGGAACACAAGCATGATGCAGGGGCGGCAGTTCCATGAATCCATGATTAAGTTTTGGTCCGTTCTCTCAACGATCTTGTTGCCCAACATGCGTTTCATACTCTTTCCCAGGCCTTACACCTGGTCTCCTGATTCTACGCGGCCTGAATTCAAAATCCAAGTCGCAATCCTGGGTCATTCTGGTTTCTGTGTTTTGGTTTCCGAATGAATCTAGTCGGTCGAGCCTCAGTTTGCGAATCCTAGTTTTTGAGTCCTTGGACAGCCTAGACTTCCAATTCCTGCCTCCCAGTTTCCCAATCCTAGTTTCTGAATCCTTGGTCGGTTCCGAATCCTGCACCTTCCTGTCTTCCCAACCCGGGCCCCGAGCTTCTGAATCTGACCGTTTTGCTATTTTGCAGGTCTCCGAATCCACGCTCTTCCTAGTTCCTAATCCACACCCTCCCTAGTTGCCGAATCCGTTGCGTCCCAAGTTTCCGAATTCGCGGCCTCACTAGTTTCCGAATCCACTGCTCTAGTTTCAAACTACCATTCGCAGAAGGTTGTGGTTCGATGCTGCTTGGCCTAGCCTTGTTTGAGTCAGAAGTATGTACTGTATGTGGATGACCAGATTCTTAAGAGCCCACAGTCACACCGATAGAATCCTCTTGGACATTTTTGGCTAGGCAGTGAACTCAAGGACCCAGTCTTTTGAGTCCCTCGATGACTACTTGTCCTCTGTGCCGACCTGCTCAGGTAACGTACTTTTCACTTGCTGGCGCCGGATCTCTTTCAGACAGATCCTGTGATGCTTTGCTCCAAGTTTACATGCTTGGCTGCTCATCTACTCAAGCATTACAATTGCCGGCCACAGCAGTTCACAGGCCTTGGCAGAACTTCTCCATGATGCACAAAATGTTGATATACGAGGTGCGCATGGGGGACAGCAAGTCAAGCAGTCTGCAGTGAGCATTGCGATCCATGACTCGACATATGGAGCACCACGTCATGTAGAAAGCATTGAGCACCATGTCGTCCCAGCACTGCAGGTTGCCCTCTGCTCAGTGAAGAGACATTGCGATCCTTTCGCAAGGGCTGCCGCTTTATCAGGCAACATGGCAGTCAACAATCAGTACAACCTTGTTGGCACAAGACTTTCATCCAAGATCTAAGATCAACCAAGTCTTCCAAGTTGACTGTTGACGTCTTCCTTGACCTAGCTGTACCTCTAAGTATGCGCTTTAGTGATCGGTCAAGCCGTGAGGTCAGTCTCTGTGACGATGAGGGACTGGCCCTTTTTCTTGTTCCGATTTGATCGGCCTGACTTGGCATTGAAACAGTTTCTGCTGTGCCTCTATCTAGATCACTGCTTGCAGCAGGAGCGTACGCTCACTTGGACAGCCCTCACAAGCTCTGTGAAGAAACATCGCCACCGAAGACGTTCGAACTTTACCTCTGCACCCTCCTCAGTTCTTTGTCTTTCCTATGACTGTAACACTTCCCAGACCATGTGTGCATCCCCTTTTTTTGATCTTTTTACTCATCGCACCAATGCATTTTGCAAGTACTCAGGGAAGCTCCGGTACTGAGAGCAACTGAGCAGAGGAGACAATTGCTCAAAGGCAGCAAGAAAATGCAAGACATGGATATTTATTTTTTGAGCAGTACAGGAAGCTGTCTCAAGGACAATTTCTTGATCTCGGATGTGGTAGGTTGTGGGTCCAGAATCAGAGATTCCAACTTGCTGGCTTGGCATGCATTCCCTTTCCAACCACACTTCCGCAGACCTTTGGGATCATTTAGGAGTCAAGCCTGCTCTCCATTTTAGGAGTCCCTTTTATCTTTCCAACGATCGGCTTGAACGTCAAGGTGATTCTGGCAGAGTTTTGTCGCAGCTCTGATATCAGGTGGACCAATCACAACAGGCCTGTGCTACTAGCCAGCCCACGCATTGTCAACAAGCCTACATTGCACATGACCATGAGGGTGGATTGCAACATCCACATACTTGGAAAGGTTTGCAAGTGGCATCGGCGTATTGTAGGCATGTCATCTGAATTGTTTCAGTAGTTAGGCGTGTCCCAACAAGAACGCACTCTGGACGAAGCACGTGATTTAGAAGCCATGGTGGCACAATCGCCAATCGCAAGGTTTTTTGCGCCTTGCAAGAAAGAGACGGGCTCACCGCCACAAACTCCAGCCCAAAAGATCACTGAGCCCAAACCTGAGATGAGTGACCCGGTAAAAGTGCTGCTTTGTTTGGGTGCTTGACCCATGCGAATGTGTTGTGTTCAGCAGCTTAGAAGGGAATGTGGAGACTTAATAGACTTGAGTTTCTTCAGATGCTTGAAGTATGTAAGTAATATTTGATTTCATCGAGGCATAAATGCAGATGGAATGAGCACTCCACCTTCTGTGCAGTCCAGAAAGCGCCTCCTGATGAAGCAACCAGAGAGTCAAACCAAGAAAATCAAAGAAGCATCACCGCAGGAGAAGCACTTGGTGACAAACGCCTCAACCGAAGCTGTAGTAGGGGCTTTCCCACCAGCTGTCCAATCACCAGAGGGATCCAAGGAGGAAGTGAGAGCTGAACCGACGGGTGAGCCGATGGATTTGAGGGCAACTTTGCAGCGAGCTCAAACGTGTGCGCCGGGTTCGATTCCAGCTTTCGTGGCTGAATGCTTTCATCATTTTGAAACTGGTGGTGCCCAGTACAGTTGGCCTTTTTGGTTGAAGCCTGAGAACTTGAAAGACATTCAGGGATTGCGTCCCGCTGATCCTGGCTACAACCCAAGCACTTTATGGGTACCCGACCCCATCCACGACAAGGCTGCTTACCAGAATGCACAGGGCCATAACACTCCAATGCTGATGCAGTATTGGAAGCTGAAATCTGCACACTTTGACAAGGTTGCATTTTTCAAGGTGGGGAAGTTCTATGAGATCTTCTACTATGATGCCTTTATTGCCCAGCGAATCTGTGGCTTCAAATGGATGAGTCAAGATAAGAAACCTCACGTGGGCTTTCCAGAAATGGCTAAGCATGAGTATGCTAAGCAAATCCTTGCAGCCGGTTTCAAAGTGGTTGTGGTGGAGCAGGTGGAACGGGTTGTTGAAACCAATCAGAGGAAAAACGAGGGAAAGTCCCAGGGAAAGCAAGGTTCAGCACCTATCTGCGTGGAGCGTGCGCCCTGTGAAATCTTCACAAGTGGAACTTTGGTTGACCCAGAGCTTCTTGAGGGTCCTGGCGCTCGCTTTCTCGCATACTTGCATTTCGACCATAGCCCGAAAAGACTGGATTTTGCCTTGTGCTTGGTCGACTGCGCCACGTCGCAAATACAAATTGGTCGATACACTGACGGCCCTGATCGAAATGTGCTTCGGACATTGCTGGCCCAGGTGCAACCCAGTGAAGTTGTATATGATGTTGGCAATTTGCCAAGCGAGGTAGTGAATTTCTTGAGGAAGTTGCCCTACCGCCCACAACTGTCCGTTGTCCGCGCTGGTGAATGTGAGCTGTTAGCGGCCAGGAATCGATTGAGCAAGTACCGGGCAGAGCATGCAGCGCATGCTGTGTTCAACGAGGAAGTGGAAGCTCTTTTGTTGCAGGACTGCGCCGTGTTGATTTGAGAAAGTCGGGGAAGCCGGCTCAAGCGAACTTGAGATCCGAAAACCCTAATTTTTCCTATTGAGCTGCTAGGACTAGGAAGCCTCTGCCATCATTTGTCATCTTTTAAAACACCAGCCGTTGCAGGACAGTGCGGCCATTGCAGCTGCAGGATTGATGGAATATTTGGCAACAGGTTTGCTGGCAGATCGACTTTTGCCAGTGGCGCTTTGGACGGTCCTGGGCAGCTCGGGGAATGCTGGTGGGGGACAGAGAATGGTGTTGGATGCTACAGCTCTTTCAGCAATTGAAGTTGTTGAGACGCTAGAAGGCCGCCACGATGGGTCCTTGCTCTCCTTTCTGGATCATACAAGCACTCCAATGGGATACCGCCTCTTGAGACAATGGGTTTGTGCCCCGCTTTACGATTTGGATGACATACATCAGAGGCAGGACGCTGTTGAATTCTTCATTCAGCATGGTGACCTCTCACATCAGCTACGCACATCTTTGAAGATTCTTGGCCGCCGAGGATGTGTCATCGGCCAAGCACGTGTCATTCTTATGTCGTTCATATGTCATACTGTCATCCCCAAGCTTGCGACAAAAAGCATCATCGAATCATCTACTGAATTCGTGTAATTCACTCTACTTTGTCAGACATTATTTTGTATTGTTTTTTGTGCATTGCAGCTGGCAGGAGTCAAGAGTTTCTTATGGAAAAAAACGAGTCGGTCGCCCGAGACAAAACTGGCTGCATTACGCCAAAAAACATACATTTGAACATATTTTAGGTGGTTATGATTACACAGAAACTGTTGCTGAAGACTCACAAATTTATGATGCAGCCCTCAATCATTCGAACTTTCTGATATGTAAATATGCCACGGCTTCTTTTGGCTACGCCAACGCCCTGCATTATATGACTGAAGTCAGTGCGGGGTATGGCTGGGAAAAGGAGTCAAGAGTCTTTTTGCAAACGCAGGGGCCACTTCGGGCAGTCATTGCGAGACAAATGCCTGGACCTACCTTGGCATCCTCAAGCGCAAAACTTTTGTGCAGACAGCTGCTGTAACCCTGAATCAGTTTTGGGCGTGCTTCGCCCAGTGTGTACACGCATCTTGGCGTCCCACGCCATTGACCTGTTCTGTATGGCAATAATTCGATCTGACTGTCTTCAACAGTTGTCGTTCAAGCAGCCTGCACTCCTAGGAAGGACCGTGGACCACACCACTGGAGACTAGACGCGACCTCCAAACATAGAAACCACACCTTCCGCGACAGCGCAGCATCTGATTCTGACTGATGCTGTGCCGAAATGAATCACAACCGACGCCGGAAGGCTTCAATACCCCTTCTGAGCTCTTGTAAAGTGACATCGAGAAAACATGAGAAAGGATCCCTTTTGGCCGGGTCAGCGGATCCCTTGCTCTCCACAGAGAACGGTGCCCGCCAGCGGTTGGGCATCACAACCCAACTGAAAGAAGTCTTCAATTGTCTTCATAAGTTTTCAACTGAGTTTTCCATGTTTGCAACAGTCAGTTTTCCGGTTCTACTTGTATTCTTGGTGCGGAAAAGTGGCCTCTCAGGAAATGCCTTTCAGGTGCCAAGATACCGGTGGATTTGGAGAGGGCCACGTCACGAATTTGGAGCTATGCGTTGCAAGCGGAGCGCAAAGCAGTCCTGTACGAGGACACCTCAATGTTTGATACTTTTGCGCCTTCGCGTTTGACTGAAAGTGTGTATGAAGTAAGAGAAAGCACATAAATAATTAAGCAATCAAGTAAAAAAATCAAGATGGAGCAACCAAAAAGAGAAAGCGAGATGGGGAGACAGCTCAGTACTTCGATTTTGTACTTCGACAGATGCCATCAGAGATACTTGTCGAAGGATGTGACCGCTCGGCGTTTGGGACAATTCGTCGAGTTGATGCAGGCACGGCGGCAGGCAGTTCTCTTGCGCTCCAAGCAGGATGCCACACATGATGGAAGCAGGATCAAGCAGGATGAATGTGTTCAACTTGTTTCATGACTTTCATGATAGCACATTGGGGACTGATTGTGTGATTGTGTTTGGAAGGCTTCTGAAGCCCAGAAGATGAATGTAATTGGTGCCATTGGAATGTCATGTTCACTCAGTTGCAGTTTTTCTGAAGGCCTTTGAAATGTGCTACAACTTGTTGACAACTGCTTTGCCAGCAGCACTTCCTGGTCGTTTGGCCAGAGTGGCACGGTTACAGAAGAATGGTGGAAGCTTACCAGACGCTTTTACGCAACCGGCATTTCGTGATGCTTGTGGATCAGGAAGAATCTTACAAGACTCTATACATCGACTACATTGGTGGACCTGATCTGATTCATCAAGTTGCCGGTTGGGTTCTTCATCACGGCGGTTTGATTTCCAGACTCAGTCAATCCTATTATCTACTTTATTCATGCCATTTCATACCGATCGCTCGCTTGAATGAATTAAGGAACTGATGCCGACCATTGTCCGGTTAAAGGGCAGCCTTGTCGAGACATCCAATGAAAAAGGACGAGTGAAGTATAGGCGCCTTGAAAGAAGATACTAGCTTCTAGTTTTCCAAGTGGCTTCAGAAGCATCGCTACTAGTAACAAGTGCATCGCTACTAGAAACAAGAAGCTTTCACCGGATGTTTTGAAGCAGACTCTGCATGGGCGCCGACGTGCTCTGGAGGCCACAAGACGGTGCTGACGCTGTCTATGATGACAAGTGCAGGAAGATTGAAATGGTAACATCTGAGCTGGATACAGAACTGCAGAATGTCCGTCAACGATATCCGAAGGTGGGTGTGACAAATTAGAAGGCAGCTCTTCCTCCTTGTCGTGTTGCACGGTGAACGATGTGAACGTTGGGCATCCTGGGTGGAGGATAGTTGTGCATCCACTGTACATTCATGGGTGCCTCATGCAACTCGCAAGCCTAGGTGACAATCTCAATGTGCCTGAGTAAAACAGGTAACATGTAAAGCGGTCTGACTACCTCAAAGAGTTTAAAGGTTTTCAGGTTCAAAACTCGACAAGCGACGACAAGTGCAGTAGTCCGTTAATGCGCATTGTTCTAAATGCAAACGGGGGGCCCAGGAGGGAGTGACAGTCAAAACGTAACAGGTACACAGAGCTGACCAGGCTCTGCTTCCAGCACAAGTGGATATGCTTTGCACCCCCTGCTGTAAAAGCAAAAGACAAGAATCGTACCAAAAGGTAACCTGTGAATCCAAGAGGTGCACACACTCACACACACACACACTGAGAAATGAGTTGGGAGTGTGGAGCGATAGGATGATAGCAAAGCCCAGAACCTCCTAAGTATGTGTCCTTGAAGCTCGGAAAACACAGGTCAAAGTTGAGTTAGCGACACCGTCAATCATATCGGTCATACAGTATGGTTGAAGTAACTGACATGTCAAGAAAACAACAAGTTGGCTTCAAGCGTCTTCCTTGTAGGTATGTAGGTATGTATGTAATGTAATGTAATGTAATGTAATGTAATGCAATGTAATGTAATGTAATGTAATGTATGTATGTATGCATGCATGTACTCCTCAAGGGTCACACTCACACGTCAGCTCACGCTTCCCAGTTTGATCAGGGGTCCCAACTTTCAAGCATCTTGTTTCGACCAAATGCCTCGTAACCCAACCCCGGATCGAGGAAAAAAACCGGAACCAATACAATATACATGTCAAACGAAGTAACATATGTTGGCAAATGCTGCTTGCACAACCTGTTGAGCAACCACAACCATTCCAAATGCCGAACTACTTTGTCAGCTGTCACACTTGACCTCCTCACATCCCACGACGAGTGTGCGTGACGCCTGTTGATGGCTCTTCATTGTCCATGTTTGCGGGCGAACCTGTGATCGTTACAGTATCAATTTAACTGTGCAAACTCAATTCCAGTGTACCAAACACAACTAATTAAAGGATATCAAAAGAACAAGATTAGAATGACTTGCAGGTGGGTTTTTCTTTCATGCACCGACTTCCTGGCTACCGCTATGAAGTGGAGTGTGATGAGCAGGCGATTGGATCCAACGCAAAGAATCTGGACGTCACCTACCGAAGCAAAGGTAAACTTCGCTTTTATACGCCCAAGATCAGGGAGTTGATTGCGCAGTTGGAACATTTGGAAGACGAGCGAGAGGACTGCATTTTTCCTTTCCTCTCGAAGCTCTTCCGGGAGTTTCACTCACACCAGGCTGCTTTTCGTACACTTATCAGATGTGTGGCTGAAGTGGATGCCTTGCTGTCATTGGCATTTGCGTCATGGAATCTGAGTGGTGCGTCTTGTAAAGCAGAACTGGTGCAACTAGATGCTTCAGAGCCTGCTTGCATTGAGCTTCGGGGCTGTCGGCATCCAGTTGTGGCAAGCAAAATGGGGAACGCTTTTGTCCCCAATGACACGCTGCTGAACTCCTGTGGTGTGCCAGGACACGCTGTTCAAAGCCGAAGTTTTTGTTGCTTTCTGCGCTACACGTGTTACATAATCTCTTACAAATCAAACACATCATTGGCAGTCCCCTTCCTACTGGTAGTTTTGATCATGTGATGGCCTTTACAATCCTCTTGCTTGGACGCTAGCAGCCCCTGGCCAGGCATTTTGATTGTGACTGGGCCCAATATGGGTGGCAAGTCCACCGTCCTGCGGCAGACTTGCGTGGCAGTACTTATGGCGCAACTTGGTTGCAGAGTCAATGCGGAGAAGTGCAAGCTCAGCCCTGTGAAGCGCATTTTCACACGTATTGGTGCCTATGATGCTGTGCTAGAAGGAAAGAGCACGTCGCTTGGCTCCAAACAATGGAAATCAGCCGTGGGACTGTGACCAGGATAAAGGCTTTTGGACAATCTGGTATTCGAGAGGGCTTGATTACAGTACGTATCGATGCACCCCCAATTTTAAGCACACGGTCACGGTCAAACAATGACACCTTTATCAATTCTCCTTAATTCAATGACTGTATTACTGTATTACTGTATTATATCAGAACGAATAGAATTGATTTGACAACCTGACAGTTTGACAGCGGGATGCGATGCAAACCAAAACATGACAGATACCCCATCCGCAACCTTTTTTGAAAACCCGTGCAACATGACAGAATTCCCGCTTACCATGGCATTTGTACAACATGGCTCGCTTGCTGGATTTTGGAGCGACCCACCTAGAACAAGCATTTTGCAAAAAATGGCATGATAGTGCATGATAGTATGACTTGTTTTGTTGAGTCTGGATTTGTGTCTGCCCATTGTGATTTTTCTGGGTGACTCTTTGCAAATGTGGTGACTTTACTCTGATAGGCTGCTCATGGGATTTGACTTGGTAGTATGCAATGCAAAAGAACTCCTCAAGGATTCCCTTTTTCAACTTGGCTTCCAGCCACACTACTGTAGGGTCGTCAGCTTTTTGTGCCAGGGCTACAACTCTGACTTTCATGTAACGAGGCGAGTTGCAAAAGAACAGTAGTTGGGGCATGTTGGGGCCACAAACTTGCGTGTGGAAGAAGCCTCGAAAGGTCAAAGTGCAAGAACCATGGAGGCTCGCACGCCACCGAGGTTGCTTACTGAGCTGGAGGACATGGGGCTGCCCGGGATGGTTCAAATTCCAGCGAGAAAGGCTTGACGAATACTCTGAGACCTTTCAAGTGGGATGTATGGTTGAAGCGAAAGTCCAGTCGGTAGGTTTTGACCCTGCTATTGTCAGGAGACTGCAGCCTTGCTGAAACATGGTACCCCTCGGAGCTTGGCGGTGCTGGATGAACTTGGGCGTGGGACTGCTACATTTGATGGTGCGGCTATTGCTTCCGCAGTGTTGACGGAGCTTAAGAGTCATGTGTGCTGTCCTGTCCCTCAACAGCAACTAACTAGTAGCTTCTTGCTACTAGTAGTAATGGCCTCCAACTTAATAGCGGCCTCCAACCTAGTAGCCGCTTGCTACTAGTAGTAATACCTGTCCCTCAACAGCAAACCGAGATTCCAACTTGATGAACTCACGAAAGATGTGTTGTCCATTGGGACCCTTCATTCCTTCGACATGCTAAGCCGTCATGAGCTGCTGGACTTCAGTGTGACCTACTAGAGACGGCCTCCAACTTTTGTTGTCCATCCATTCAGGTCCTATTTGCAACACATTATCATCCAGTCTCCAAAAAGGCGGTGGAGGACACCACAAGAGTCACTTCCTCAGAGTCCGTTGCCGGGATTGGCGGATTGTGTAGTCTTTTGGTCTAAGGTTGCCCCATTTCATATGGCTGCTTCGGTCAACCAGCAGACGAATGAGACGACTTTCCTCTACAAATTCCTTCCTGGGCTTTGTCCTGCATCCCATGGCCACAACGTGGCCAAAATCGCAGGTTTGCCGGAGAAGGTGCCGAAAAATGAATGAACAGATGAGGGAAGGGTGAGATAATTATGTGGCGACCTTATATACATACATATATATATATATATGTACATATCAAACTCATCAAATCAAAGCACCTTCAGACCTTTTAGACATTCCTTGTGCGAAGGTTTTATGGAGACTGATCAGATTTTCTACAGGGAGCTGTTTCTTTTTGATGGCCAGGGAGGAACACTTAAGCTGAGCAGACCACCAAGTGAAACGGATAAGACCACCAAGAAGAAGCAAGGGTTTTTGAGCAAGCTCCATGATACCTTCAGCCACGCAGTTGCCATGCAGTTGCCACGCAGTGGCCATTCCATGGGGTCTTGGCTGAAGTTGCGTAACGGATTGCTGCCGAACAGATTGCAACTGCCTGGCAGGTCTTGGCTGAAGCGCGGAAACGCTCTGCCGAGTTTGAAGACTGCAGTGACCTTGAGGCTGTGACCAGATGGGTAGAGTCGGGTAGAGCCGGCAGGGTGTTTGGTGTTCCACTCGAGGAGCAACCGCCAACCGTCACCCATCGTCACCCCAGCGCGGGCAACGGACAATTGTCTCTCAATTCAATTCTTTGGATCTTGGTGTTTGCAAAACCGCAAACACTGGCGATTTGGAAGGTCTCTTTTCGAAGATCTATTTCTCAAACAAAACTCCCACAGCAAGACCAACTGTGTTTACTCCCAGCATTCCTAATATGCTCCTCACACAATTCATGCTGTTCAAGAATTAACTATTGAGTTATTCTTAGCTTAAATCCGTTAACATATGCCTCAAGTTCAGTTCCTTTGTCCAGTTTGCTCAAGCAACATTCCAAGAACTGTCCCAAGCGGCTGGCAAGGAGTTGGTCAGATGTGCTGCTCAAGGCGAAGCAGCGCTAAAGGCAGGGCTTTTGATAGGTCTTAGTCTTAGTAGCTTCTTTTTAATGGTTATTCCTTGCTTTGCTCTGCTTTGCAGTTCGTTACTATTTTTTCAGCTTTGTCATTGGTGTAGACCTACCAGTGCAGAATTAGAAAAACTCTATCCCTAGCCCTAGCCTAGTAAAAATCAAGTCAGGCCTTTGCCGAGTGTTTGCGGAATAAGCCCTGTGGTGGAACAAAACGTAGCAGCAAGGATCACATGATCACAACCTAGCTTTAAAACGTTTGGTGCTTCGCTGCCAAGTGCTGGCTTGGCGAAATTGCGGAATCCAGAATCTCTGCGTTTTTGTCTTTGTAGAAAAGAGTTCTATGGTCTGGACACTGTTGAGCAGATACCGGAAGATACGAAGATGCAGAAACACCTTGGTCACGCTGCACAGGATTTCTTCAGACGCAGAACAAAATGCTGAGGCAGCAAGTCAGTTGGCAATCCAAAGCAAGCGGCTTTATCGAGTTTTTCTTATTCGAGGGTTGTGCCCAGTGTATTTAGCATTGGGAATAGTTTCACGCGGGAAATGTGGGAAGCATGCTGGACTCCTGACATGCAAGTGGGGCAGGGTGTGCGGAAAAGGGCCGAAAAGAACGAGAATTCACCACAGTTGCAAATCGCTTGTTTGCCGGCTGACAACTGACGAGAATTGAGTTTCATTTTTGTACCCTGTGCCTGTTGTGCGAGCTGATCTGATGCCGAAGTACTGGCTCGAAGAGCGAGCTTTCAGCGTTCCAAAGTTTTCCCACCAAAGAGGGTTCATGATGCTTCATGTCATAAATTGACCCAAAAGATCAGACAGGTGCGTTGCGCAAACGCATCCACAAACCATCGGAGATGAGATTAGATGAAGAGAATTGATAAGCCATCAATCTCCGTGTCTTGATTTCCTCCAAGAGCAAGAATGGACACAGAAAGAAATAAAACACATGTAGGTCAGTCCAAGTCCAGTTGACCGAGCGGAGGGAACAGGAGAGTGCTCAAGTAGGCCTCTTCGTCAGCAGAGCTGATGGCATGTTATTTGCAGCTGGAGAGAAGGAAACAGCCGCTGGCCGCACAAAATGTCCTCCCCGAAAGACCGCATAGAATTTACGGGTTGCGTGAGGAATTCAAATTCTGGTTGGGCTCGAGCCGAAAAGAGTAGTGAGAGGCAATTGTCTAATCTTCCACTCTTGAATGGGACCTTCAAAAGGTTTGGAAAGTATCGTGCACAGCCCTTTCCCACGTCTCAACATGTCTCTTCTTTTTGCAGCACTGTGAATCGACAAGATGAATCCAGCAACTATTTACATAGATCTTACCAATCTTGGAATTGATTGATGTGTGAGCACATGTTCAATGATTTCCAACTCTTACAACAAGCAATCAGGTGTTCAACAAGCCATTTAGCACTTCGGATTGCTTTGAATCTTTCTGCTTGCATCTGCTTGCACTAACAGACATTTGTTCTCCTCAGTTGTGATCTCGCTCTTGGTTTTGTTGTCCTTCTCCTGGTCGTTGCGATTACGGTTGTTGTTGCAGCGAAGGTATCCATTTATGGTCAAGCACCATTTGCAGTGCAGTGCACATTTCCACCTTCACGTTATGCCAAAGATGGTGGATTACTGGCAGAACCATGATGTTGAAGTCTGGCTGGTCGTGGTCAGAGAACTGACCCCTTCATTCACCTGATTCTCCGCATCTCCAAGTGCAGGCATTGAATTCACGCTCTGCCATCTTGATCAAACAACATGGTGCTGTAGCTGGAGCTTCTAGATTCTAGGTGCAAAGCGCCTGCAATGTGGGCTTCCTTTTCTTATTTCCAAGTGCCTTTTCAAGGGAAGGCAACTACATTGTGCTGCAATCTAGTGTTACTCGTGTCCATGGCTTTCTGAATTGTCGCCAAAGACACACCAATCGAGTAAGTGAGTTGATGCAGTGAGCTACCTGCTTTGGGGCATCTCCATGGCTTGCTTGTCGGAGCCCACAACTTTGCCTGGCGGCTCTGCCAGAAGCACGTTCAACATCTTGGCTATTCTTGACAGCTTTGCCCACAGAATAATCAACACCTTTCTCACGACTTTCCAAATGACCTGATTTCGGCGTTGCTTTGCTGTTTGTGCATCATCAGCAGCGACTCATGTTGATGTCAAGTGTTTGGTCGCTTCTTACGGTGCAAGTGAATGTGATTGATGTTCTTTTACTTTTTCTACTAGAGCTAAAGAATGCATAATGAGCATCCGACAACTTTGGACAATCAACATATATAGTTATGTTATATATATAATATATATAGTATTATTATTGTTTGTAACCAGACTTCTCAGCTTCTTTGTGCAGCAGACTCTCTGCACAAATCCGCACAAGGTGCATGCTGGAGGTGACGAAGGACTTGAATCTTACGATGTGGCTTTGCTCCAGTTATGGATAATGTGTGTCGTGTTTGGTGGTTCTCATGCATCGTATATGCATGTATATATATATTTACTATTCTTATTATTGTTATTCTTTATATATATATTTATTTTGTTTATTTTTTTTGTTTTTTTGTTTTTAATCATTGTACCAAAATTCATTTGCACGGCTAGCATGCATACCTTCAGAAGCACACACATGCATACTATGATGTTACACACACACACAAGTAGCGACATGGGTTTAGAGAATTTGGACACAAGAAGGTTTCTGTTTTGGTGTGGGAACTGCCAAAGAAATGGGTGTACAACCGAGACCTCGGAAGAGGACAAATTGACAGCTGTATCCTGTGGCTGGGGGTCTCTGTATTCTGATACACACCCAATCAATATCTGGAAATCTTCAGTTCTCAGGTGCGGATTGAGGAGATCATCATGCTGCCACCCTTGGTGAGTGCAGCACCGAAAGGACTTGTGACCTGCCTGGGGCTGGTGGGGGGACCCGTCCTAATCTTCTTGGTTTCTTTGGTCGCACGAGGCCGGCACACACAGAAGAACGATCAAGTCGTGACATTTGTCTGTATACACCTAGTAGCTTCTAGCTACTAGTAGTAATGGCCTCCAACCTACTAGCGATGGCCCTTGAACCTAGTAGCTTCTAGCCACTAGCAGTAACAAATGATTGCTCAATTGGTGCAGTTGTGCCACTTGTAATATCTTGCGCTCGAGAACATTGCCCGCTTGGCAGAGGAGAAGATGCAGAGAAGCCGAGGGTCGGTAAGTTTTTAAAGGCGGAAGAACGGGGATTGATGATTGGACCAGTCACAAGTTGAAGCAAGGCGCCACCTCAGGTCCCTGTATATAAGAGGTTTGATTTTTTCCAGGACACACCCATTTTTTGCAAATTTGTGAGAAAGTTCAATTGTTGTCGACAAGGTGATTCTTCACCTTGCCAACAGGAAAACGAGCAAGTCTACACTGAGAGATTCGAAAGTTCTGACCTGCAACAGAATGTTTTTCTCCAGTATTGCTGGACCTGGTGGAGCCTGTGTCAGGCCTTGCCTCGAGTTTTTTTGAGCGCGGAGGAGTTGCACTTTGGCCTTCTTTGAACTCTGGATGGTGTGTGGTCCCTGATTTGTTTTCCCGTGTACCGATTTTCAGTTGACTGCAGATCGCGCCTTTGTGTTTTTGAGTGGAAGCTCGAACACCGGTGAGTGCCTCCAAGTTGCAAGAGCAAGGATGGCTCCTCATGTTAAAACAACGTTTAGTGAGGACTTAGTCGCAGATTGCACAACCAAAAGTGGCCTCACGCTAATTTAATTTCCCGAATCTGGCCACCGACAAAGCCATCACCCATCACAACAACTTTATTCAACTATGGTTGTCCGCATATTTCCCATATCTGCAGAGCCAATTTTTCTTAAGTTTTGGTCAGCGGAATCATTAGGCAATCAAGTGTTGCAAGTCCTAGGCCTCTTGGACGGTTTCTCAGCATCCGGCCTGCTACTCCCAATGCAGAGTCGACCCTGCCATTACATCCAAAAAGCAGGGCAAGATACCCTCTTGGGAATGGCCAATGGTGTAGGATGCAAATTTTCGAGCCGTTATTTGAGGCCTCCATCCTGAGAGCAATGGCTTCCAACCTAAGAGTGACGGTTTCATGGTTATTTGAGGCAAGATCCGCCTTTGCTTCCCACAGATGGC